TTTGTAGGCATCAGTTAGTTAGCTTCATTTTAGATCTTCAGCCAGTTGTTTAAAAGAGCTCATGGTTGTTGAGCGTTAGCATAAGGTTTTAAGAGTCAGAGAATTTGTTTTGCTCTGGAATTGTCATTTACTGACAGTTCTTAATGACAATTCTTGACCTTCTTGCCCAGTCCTAATCAATCAATTAAGGCCTAATAAATCAATTGGGTTCTGACACTGGAAGAATTGGAAAGGTGTCTTCACCCTTATACATGCTGCAATTGCTATTTTTATTGCTCAAACTTTTGCATGCAACTGTATAATATATTTAAACTAGAGTTTATGTTTAGTGTAGTTCTAAAGTTAAGACTGTTTTTTGCTATACATTCAAATTAAATTACCATAAATTACATGTATGTTCTGCATCAAGAGAGCTAGCAAGGTCAAATAAAATGATGCCCTAGTCTCATCATAGAAAGTATGCCTGGTGCTTTGTTGTCACCGGAGCACAAGTTCTGTTGAGAGCAAGCTTGCTAGAAAACAAGTAGACCTTGAAGCCCCAAAGTAGCCCAGTGTGTTATCTTTAGCACTGTTCCTGTGCTGTGTGTGTGACTACTTCCTACAGGTAGGACATTCTATTAGGTGTAAAAAAATGTGTAGAAAACCTGTTTGTGAATCACTATCATGATGTAGGCCTATGCAACCCTGACAGTACTACTCATAGAACTTTTTTGCCAGTTTCAGGTGCATTCTGCCCATGTGTTCTGTACAAAGCTGCCACACAAGCCTAATCACACAGTTTACTTGACAAAGAAGGGCCTGGGTTCGATTCTCTTGCCGGGTGACCAGTGTGCTGTCTGTGTGGAGTTTGCATGTTCTTCCTGTGTCTGTATGGGTTTCCTCTGGGTGCTCTGGTTTCCTCCCACAGTCCAAAGACACACAGTCAGGCCAATTGGACATGCTAAATTACTCCTAGGTGTGAATGTGTTTGTGATTGTATATGTCTGTGTGTCTGCCCTGTGATGGACTGGTGACCTGTCCAGGGGGTTTCCTGCCTTCTGCCCGTTGACTGCTGGGATACAGGCTTCAGCTGTCATGTTGAAATAAGCAAAGACGTCACTGAAAAAGACGTGGAGAAACAGCACTTGCGGCTCCAAAACATGTAGACATTTTTCAGCATTAATGGTGCCTTCACAGATGTGCAAGGTACTCACTAATACACCCCCATACCATAACAGACCCTGGCTTTTGAACTTTATGCTGGTAAATGTTAATGTCTATTGCAAGCTTCAAATAAAAGTATAGAGTGTCTTCTATAAGCTTCATCTGTCTATGTTTGATCTAGAACAGATAAAAGATGTCTGTATGCACTACCATTAGCATAGTGCTAACATACTATTGGAAATCTCATAGTGATATCACAGCAGAAATTAGCTTTATCACTGAGGTGTTTTATTCTCATTTGTTGACCTAGTTTTGACATTTATAGAACACACAGAAGGCCTAGCTCTAATCGTCACTGTTCTCCACTGCTTTTATAAGATATTCATATGCAACTTCACATAGACATCAGTCAAGGTCACTTTGAACTGGAGACATCCCAGTCCTAAATGACTGCAGAACTTACTGCCAGTAATGGTTGAATAGAGTGAATACACTTGAGGAAGACAGTATGAGGCATGCGCTTTAGCTACGGCCGCCCTTCTCTCCAGCGCTCCACTGCCAAGGTCACCCGCCTCCTTCCCCTCAGCTCTCAGCTTAACTGGCCTGTCAGGGTATGACAAAAGCCATTAAGATTTAGGGAGATAGGGAGAAGGAAAATGCTGAGAAATACACTTTTCAAAACCATGGCCAAATGGGCTTTGCGGCATAGGGGCTCTGAGTATGTTTGGGTAGCATATGTGTGTGTATGTGTGTGTAGAGTATGAGGGATGGGAATGTTATAGAGCTATCATCATCAAGGGGAAAACCCTGTCCACCACAGGGCCTAACAGTGGACCACACACAGGAATCAGGGATGAATGATATTTGGGGAAAAAGTTGTGATTTAATGTGATTTTATTTTTTTTGATAAATAGGAAAGGCTACAGTTCAATATTCTTATTTAGGTTACAAGATACACTGTAAAAAAAAAACAAAAAACAAACAAAAAACATTTAGTTAGTTACCAGATGGCCTTAAAATTTTGAAGTAATTAATCTTCTAATAGTAAGTTAAGTGTCTTATGCTCAGTTAAGTTAACTCCAGTGTCTTATGCTCAGTTAACTCCAAATTTTAAGGTGATTAGGGGTTAACCTAACTTTTTTAGGTTAACCTCTTAAAATCCCAGGTTTATTACATACAAAGCCTTATTATTCAGTAACTACATGGACAGTGCAAACTGGTTGAGCTATTGTTAGGTAATAGAAGCATGTAACAAAACTTTGCGCCTGCTGGCAGGCCCTGACCATGTAAGGGCTTAAAACAAAAGACTCCATTGCAAGTGACCCATCCAGGCTCTTCCCACAAATGTTATATACTTTATTGGTCCAACAAGACAATTTGCTGCTTAAATATGCCCAATCTGAGGGCAGCACCGCCTGGGGCAGCGGGGGGTTAAGTGCCTTGCCCAAGGGCACAACCAGGTATACCTAGTCAGTCGTGGGATTTAAACCTGCAATTGTCCGGTTGATGGCTCACCTTTTCTACCACTAGGCTGTGTTCTTTAGTAGACGTTATTGCAAAGACAAGCTTTAGAGAACACTGGTAAAAAAAAAAATGATTCAACCTAATGAATTTAGGTTACTTAAGGTTGTTTCCAGCTGAACTGTGCTGTAACTAATCAAAACTAGACAGGTTGGAATGATGACAAGTTTGTCAATGTTCTACAAAAAATCCATTTCAGGACTGAGCATGAATAAGTAAATTATATACTTTCATACTGTGTTTGCAAAATACCTTACAGTATGTAGAAAACACATTAGTGAATGAACAAGGGACAAACTGATCATGAACTTTTATGTATGATTCAGATACCGATTTCTTTACTGCCTTTTCTTTACTTCTTTACTTATTAACCAAACCTGCCACGTAGACCTGATTTTGAATGGGCTGAACTGGTAGTGTACATTTTTCAGTTTTAAATCATAATTATAAATTATAAAATTGAAACACAGCAGCACAGATCTGCTAAAATTAAAACTGGATGATTTTGAGTAAAAATATGCCGATGCCGATTGTGGCCGATTCTGATTGTTAATCCTTGTAGTAACTCCTGATGTGATGCAGTGACCGCATTTTTTTACCCACCTGCTAGCTAGGTCCCTACATCACATGCTATCAAGCTGAAAGGATAAGAGCTAGCATGTGCTTCCTCCAACTTTTTTCTAATTGCCAATTTTTTTAACACACCGTCATTGGACAGCTCAACACCCTTGGAGAAGAACACCAACTGCGATCATTTGTCTGTCACAGCCGTGTTATTTTTTGGTGTCATTTGTGACGTTTGAGCAGTGATTGATCTGCTCATCGGGCTGTCGCTGTAAATAAAAAGATCTCCTTAATGACTTGCCTGGTTAAATAAAAGTAAAATTAAAAATTAAATAAATAAACAGTTCTGTTAATGTTATGCTCGTGTTGGCTAGCATTACGCTGAGTGATCAAACCTGTGATCTCTCAACGACAGGGTGAACCCTGGTTGTGCCACACAGGAGCACGTGATTGCCTCTGTTTATCAAAACACACAAGAACATTTGTGATTGGTCTCATCACACAGTAAGACATTGAGGATCGTTTGCATATTACACGCTTCTCTATCTGTATATCAGTATTGTGAAGTACAATATCAGGATAAAGATTAAGGAACATTGTATTGTGCAGCCCTGCTGCGAATCTGGAATTAGTGTCAGTGTTCATTCTGTAATGGACAAAGTGGAGGCTGCAGTTTTGATTCCATGATCCACCTTCATTACGTGTTCAACCATGTGATATTTTCTTATTTCAATCAAACACACCAAATAATGCATTATCACACTCATTTCTTTGGTTATATGTGTGCTGTGTGCTATTAGTTCCCCTTTCCCTTTAAGCAGAAAACCTAGAGAGAGCAGTGCAGCGCGCAAGCCGCCACTGACTGCACTGATGCCTGCTTTTCTTCTCATCAGACTTCATTAGTAATTTAATGAGCTATCTTCAAAGTGATAGCATCCTCTGGTGTATAGCAGCCTGGTCTGCTGTCGGTAAAATCACGCATCACCAATCCACATGCTGCAAGCTTGCATCTGCCTTTGAGCCTCACACACCCGTGTGCAGTTGTATGCAAAAGTTTGTGTGCCCTGGATGCACATTTTGATGCACAATTACTGTGTATTTGAATACATTGAAAATTAAAAGTTAAGGCAAATTGTATATGTTATGTTTTATTTGCTCCCAAAATGTTAAACTCAGCAAATAAACAGAAATTGAGCTCTAAAACTAGTAGAGAAGTGCCATATTTAATTTCCCTGGGTGTGTTCAAACTTTTGCATATGACTTTAAATGCATCAGATTGCCACAACACAGGACTGCTACTGAAGCTACACTGGTTCATATTCATGTACTTTGCTGAAATAATAATAATATATATATAAATACATTTTTACAAAAATTAGTCAACTTAGTTACAGTTTTTTTGTGTTTGGTTCAGTTTGAAAAACTTTCCTGGGTCTGCGCCTGGACTGCAGTTTGCCAGGGGACATGCCTTGTCCTAGACACTGGAAAACTCAGATCTAATCCATTTGGATTTACAAATTACAATCCAAATGGTGTACTAGTGTAATCAGAGAAGAGAGAAATACTTAATTTATCTGTGCTTTGCAAGGCAAGTACCCAACATTATATAATTACCGGTGTCCACCAGCATTATAATCTAGTGGAAATCCCAGTGTCAGGCAGGTGTGAACAACACATAATTACATGCAAACAGCCCCCACTGGAACAGCTTTGCCAACAGAGCATTGTGTTTTGACATTTTCACTGTTTTGACTGCTTGTCTCTCTTTGCAGCCGGAGGACTTTGAGGGGGTCCATTCCCACACCTTCAAGGTCAAGACTTTCAAGAAGGCCAAGAGCTGTGGGGTGTGCAAGCAGGCTGTGACCAAGGAGGGCCTGGTCTGCAGAGGTCAGTAATGGTGTAAGAATCACTGTATTTCTGGGTAAAATGTTGTGTGGAAGCCTTTGAATCACTTTCATTGGGTATGTCTATGTGTCAAAGTGAAGAAAGATGTCTTCTCAAAAGTCAGATATGGCTTATGCCTTAGTATGTTATTGTTAATAGCTGTAAAAATGTTTTGGTTTTATTTATATTTATATTATTATTAGTCAATTGGTAATGGATCGACGTATCTATGTGAAATTAGAGATGCATTGATACTGAAGCTAGTACTGCTGTCACCCTATACTAGGCCTGCACCAGAGTCCTCTTATTTGGGTAACCATGTTAAAAACAACCATGCTAAACAGTTAAATGAGGTTGCAAGCATATTTTTAAAAATTGTTTTGACCCTTACTGAAGCAGGTGCAAGAGAAAACACAGTGATACCATATGAGTTGAATCTTACTCTTTGTCAAATAAAAGAACATAATAAAGAACAGATCAGTAAAAGTTGTGGTATTGTCATTTTTTACTTGGCCACATAACTGTAATTAATCTAGTAAGAGAGAGCAGAATTTCAAGTGTCCCATGAACTTTATCATCTGAGAATTTGTGGCTGCTTAGCGTAGCCCTTTACTGTGTTCTCTGAAGCCATTTAACCAGTGCACCTGTGTTCATTTCCTCCATGTTAGGTACACTAAATGTGGTATTAATATAGTATATCACATCACGCAATGACTAGAAGCTATATTAATGAGTGGAATGTCTTGTTATAGTTTGCATTGAATATACCAATAGTTTGTAAATAAGTTTTCACCATCACGTGGCGGGGGGGGGGTGTTACTCTGGTGACTCAGTTAACTCAATTAACCATCACGGCACAGGCCAGACACACTGACAGTACTGTATTGTAGCATACCAGCAATGTTATATTACTTTTATTGTATGTGACCGTATAGAAAGAGACATCTTAGTAAACAAACATTTAAGAAGATAGAAAGCATAATTTGCATGTATATATAATATTAATAATAGTCAATGCATTAGTATGATCTTTAGTACTCAGTATCGGCAGATAAACCGCTGTCAGACTAGACTCTTGCAGTTGCCTTGCGAAATGGGTGTGACAGATGCTGGTTCGGAATGTTGTTCACAAAAAACCTCCTGTCAGTGCAGTCAGCAAGCTATCTAACCATAAACAGTAATAGCACAAAACCGAACATAATTACATCAGATAATTACTTGTGGGAATGCAGTATTGCACACTGAGTCACATCCACAAAAAGAAGATAACTGGTGTGGTTGGCGTCAGTGAGGTGACTTATGTGCAGCTGTGGTTAGCCTGTGAGCTTACATAGTAGTTAGCTGGCTAACTCGTCTACCATGAACATAGAGAACACAAAAGTGAATTATATTAGATAATTATTACACTCGCCAGAGCAGTGCTACACAATAATCAGTGGTAAAAAAAAAAGAGAGAACTGGCATGGTTGGTAGCAGTGGGGTGACTTCTGAAGGTGCACCTTCAGTTAGCCGTGGAGCTAACACTGCAGTTAGCAAGCTTGCTTACTCATAAACAATAATCAGTAAAACCACAGATAATATAATACAGGCTCTCTTATGTGTTTATTTACAGTTGGTAAATTGGTAAGAGTTAAGTCAGAGACTAGTTAAATTAGCATCCAGTTTTGGAGGTTCAGTATCATGAAGGGCTGCCCAATCAGAGGTCAACACAGCCAAAGTAGTAACACTATTAATAAAGGATACTAATCTGCATTTCAAACACAAAATGTATTTGTCCTGGAAGTCTGCGATACATAATCGCTCATTGCGCTAAATTCCATTGAAATAAATGTAGCGCAGGTGTGACTGTATATTGACACCAAAAATTATACTGGTGCACCTTTTTGTGGTCTCAATAATACTGAAAACAAGAAGATCAAATAGTTCTGCACAATAGGCTCATTTTGTCTGTTGACCATTGTCACAGGTTCGGCTTTTGCAATATGCAAATTAGCCCATTAATAAATCACAGCATTTCTTGTTGTGTGCTGTAATCATCCTGAGCTGTGTCAGATGTTCCAGATAAGTTTCTGTTAGTGTTTTGATGAATGATGGAATTCACGTGGTCCAACAAAACCAAACAAAGTAATATAGGCTGTTCTTTAACCTTACATTGTGTTTTAATAAAGCATATAATGTGAAGTGATATAATTGCAAAATGATAGTTTGTACATGTTGCATCCCTGCTACTAAAAAGTAAGTGGTGTAAAGGTTGTGGTTTCAGCACCTCTGCTAGTGGACAGCTCCTCATCTCCTCTCCTCAGTCTATCAGTCTGCCTGTTTAAGTGATTATATGATACAGACCTACAAATAGTTTAACAGTGACATAATTGTAGGGTCTCTGGATATGAATACATACATACTAGAGGCTGACTGATATATCAGTTGGCTGATAACATCAGAAGATACTGGTAATCCACTGTTTTATCAGCTAAAATATTGCCAATAATGTGGAAATAATTAACATGTTTGAAGTTTGTGGCATTGCCAGGATTTCAGTCTGCAATCTCCCAACAGAGATAATGCAATACACTAGATGGTTATGCTGCTGGGGAACCCAATAAGAAACACTTATGAGAGCAATACAAGCTGAACTGGTAAATTTAAACACAATCAACAACATCCATGTTAAAATAGTAATGTAAAATTATGCCAAACTCAAGTTTTATATATTATATGTATTCATAGGAATAACATGTTATAACAACTAACTAAAGGAAACTGATCAACAGAAACTTAAACTGCAAAGCAGTAAGGTTAGTCTCACCCTTAGTGCTATAGTTTTATTATTAATGATCTTTATTATTATTCACATTTCACAAATTTACAGCTGACAACTGACAATCATATCAGTCTAAAACAGGGGTTGCAAACTACCAACCAAGCTTCATATGGCCTGTCATGCAATTGATCGATTTAGCAAGTTTTTTCATTTTCTGTATAACATAAGCTTAAGCTATGAAAATCAGCTTAAGCTGATTCTTATGTTGTTAAAAGTAAAAATAGAGTGCTGCATGCAAGAAGAACCATTCAAATGAAAACCTAAAGCAGATACTGAGCGGTCAGTGTTGGAATTTAGCTAAAAGTTAGCTAATATGCTAATTTAGGCCATAGCTACACTTTAAAAAAAAAAGGTTCTTCACAGGTTCTTCAGTAAAGAAAATGGTTTTATATAGAACCATGAACACTCAAAGAACCATCCCAGGACAGCTACACAACAAACTGCTCTGACTCAGCGTGCCAACCGCCACTTGCCAGAGGCTCACCAACTTCCTCACTGGCAGAGAGCAGCAGGTGAGGTTGGGAAAGTTCACCTCAAACACCCAGATCATCAGTACGGGTGCTCCACAGGGTTGTGTACTCTCACCATTGCTATTCTCACTGTACACAAACAACTGTACCTCCATGGACCCCTCAGTCAAAATCTTTAAGTATGCAGACGACACTACAGTCATTGGTCTCATCCGAGATGGTGACGAGTCTGCTTACAGACGGTGGTTAATCAGGTGGTCCTTTGGAGCAGCTACAACAACCTGGTGCTGAATACAGCGAAAGCAGTGGAGATGACAGTGGACTTCAGGAGGAGCCCTCCAACCCTGCCAGCACTCACCATCCTGGACAGAACTGTGATGGAGTCCTGCAAGTTCCTGGGCACAACAATCACCAGGGACCTGAAGTGGGACAGCACCATCACCAAGAGAGCCCAGCAGAGGATGTACTTCCTGTGTCAGCTGAGGAAGTTCAAACTGCCCCAGGAGCTGATGGTGCGGTTCTAAACAGTCATCATAGAGTCTGTCATCACCACGTCCGTCACAGTGTGGGGCAGCTTAGCCACCAAGCATGACCTCCACAGACTGCAGCGTATTCATCAGGTCTGCAGAGAGGACAGTTGGGGTTAAGTTGCCCACACTGTTGGAACTGCATGCCTCCAGAACCAGGAAGCGTGCAGAGAAGATCTCCACTGACTCGTCCCACCCTGGACACCACCTGTTCCAGCTCCTTCTCTCAGGCCGGCGCTTCAGCCAGATGAGGATCAGGACATCCAGGCTACAAAGGAGCTTCTTCCCTCAAGCCATCACTCTCTTGAACAGTTAAAATATTACACATTAAAATATTCCAGCTTTGAAACTGCACTTCTGAAATACTGGTATATAGTATCAAACTCAACTCCATCCTCTTAAACTACCATCTCAGACCAGTGTTTATTCTAGCATCTTACTTACCTGCCATATTACCCCACTTATCTGACTGTCACCTCATTGATCCCTTTCTTTGCCACTATACACCCTTTAACTGCTGCTGCACTCAGCACTTTAACATTTGACCCATACTTTGCACAATGTATAGGTTACAGGTATGACTGTGTGTGTGTATGAGTGAGTTATGGTAGGAATGCATGTTTTATTTTATTTTTTTGTATTGTATTTTATTTTATTTTATTCACTACATGTAAATGTCTGTCTGATACAGTGCACTGTGAGCTCCTGTAACCAAAACCAAATTTCTTGTATGTGTAAGCATACCTGGCCAATAAAGCTTCGTTCTGATTCTGATTCTGATCTGCATGATTAAAGTGTTCTTTGCATCATGAAAGGGATGTTCAGATTGATGGAGAATAAGCTGTAGATGGATCAATATAGAACCTTTTTCAAAAGGGTTTCTGCTACTGTTGTGACGTCAAGCTTTAAACTATAGAAGGACCCTTTTTGGTGCTATATAGAAATCTTTTCAAAAAGGTTCTATATAGAACCATCTGCAGCACATTCTCCATCCCTCTGAAGAACGCTATGATGCAAAGAACCCTTTAATCATGCAATGGGTTCTTTGAGTGTTTGCTCATAAACTTAAATGAGTGAATATGTTTTGTAGTTAAAAAACTAAAGTACTTTTTTCTCTTCATTTTTTTGCATTTGAGTTTGAGGACCTACAACAAACGTTACAACATAAAACTCTTAGCAGTCATA